ATGTCTTGTATGGCATACAAAAAATAAACTTCGCTCGTTAAATTTGGAGGGTTCTGTGAGTTTCAGAAAATGGTGAAAATTTGCTTATAAAAATGGCGTCGGAGGGGGTCGAAAAAAGTGATGCTCGTATCTGTAATACAAGAGCAGTGAAGAACCTGTGTTTGGTATATTTGTCCATTACTCCACCAGACCTATCTATGATGTTAGTATGAACTTATTCTGTCGACCCCTTTCCGTTGACATTTTTAACATTTTGCCCGGTTTTCTCTGACAACCACTCTTAAATATACAGCAGAGTGCAAATCAAATTTATCTGATCAGAAATTGTAACACCATTACGCATTTTTATGATTATACAGGGAAATGACTGTTAAATACATGTACGTGATCTATTTGTTGCACTGTTTAGCTGTTTAGTTTTAGGGGTTTTTGCACGACAAGAAAAGCTAACGGGTTGGCATTCATCATGAGTTGTAAGGACTAGGTAAATTTTGAAAGTTCGAGTAAAAGTGACTGAAAAGCAGGGTCAAATTCAAGGGAAATTGGACTTAGTTCGAGTTAGTGCGGAGTTGGAGTTACCGGGGTCCTACGGTATTGGCAAAATGAACTAGACAACCGTGACAGAGCCCCTTTAATGTCTTGCTTTTTTATCCTTGAAGTTCCTCTTTTAATTTTCATTTACTAAAGCACTATTTATGCAGGTATGTTGTCAAAGAAATCAAAGCAGAGTAAGCCCGGTAACTTCCGTGCTAGAAGTGGACTTTTTGCAATCTTGGGTTTTGGATTTGCCCAAAATTTCGGAAAAATCGTCTCTCTGCGAGTGAACGCACTTAACAGTTCAAATTTGGTAGCTTCAAGGCGTTTTAAAATTGAAAACGATTCACATCCAGTTTACGTGCGTCACTCAAATACGCTTTTTGCCCAAGTTACTGTTGGTCTCAGTCTCACTTCTGACATGTGGCAATTCTTAAAAGCGATTTAAATCCAGGCCCACCATGAATCCACAAGAAAGAGTCTTATCCCGCCCTTAAATAAGCAACCATCAGTACTCAAATAATTGCTCTAAGTACGAACAGGCTAGCTATTTTCTAGCCATTTTTTATGTGTTACTCTTCGTAGATCCTAAACTTTTCAAATTCAACGCTACGAGCAACACAAATATACCGGATATGTTGCAGCATTCTGGCCGGGCGATGAAACACGTGTTTCACGTAAGGTTGTAAAAGTAACAGACTAGCTGAGAGAAACGCTAAGATGGATTGACTAATGATATTTCTACTGCCAGGTCAATTTCTACTGCTACTAAAAATGAGATAACCCGTGAATCTCTTGGCCTGAATCTCCCAACTAGTATTTGACCCATATAAGGGAAACCGTATTCCGGAATCCGGGACATTTTTGCTTGTGGGATCCGGAATCCAGAAAATTTTTGCCGCAGCATCCGGAATCCTGGGCTTTGGAATCCGGAATCTAAGTTCCACTGACAAAGAATCCGGAATCCAGGGCCTAAAATCCGGAATCCACGGCGTGGAATCCAGAATCCAAGACTGTTTTGAATTCCCTCACGTGGCGCGTTAGTATAATCAAAGAAAAAAACACAACAAAACACTGATTTGTTTTTATTTACTCACCATCGAAAGTAATTTTTCTGTTAAACTGGTGCTTCTGGTCCTGTAGCATTTCACTGATGTCTTCCTCGGGAATTTTTTCCTCCATAATTTGGAAGATGCTCCGTAGTTCAGTGGACATAATGTAACCTCGATCATCGCGATCAAATATCCTGAACGCTTCCAATGCCTCGTCTTCGTTAAAGGAAAACTGGTTCTTCGCCACCATTAGTTTAACAAATTCCCCGAAATCCATCTGCCCATTACCTGAGACAAATCGGACAACCCTTGGCATTAAATAAGGGCTTAGTAATTTGGCCATGTAATTCTACATAGAAAATTATAGGTTTCCATACCACAGACGTTTGAACTTGTAATTAAGCGAAAAGGCGGGTTATTAAATTGCCAATAACTTGGCAAGGAACAAAAATCAGTAATAGACCCCTGAATGCCTTGTCTCCGTAGATTAGGTTCGTGCGCTCCGGAACGCAGAGATCGTATTGGCGTTCCGGAACGCACGAACCTAATCTAGGGAGACAAGGCACCCAGGAGTCCATTATTGACTTTTGTTCCTAACGAAGTTATTACTGGCAATTTAATAACCCTCAGCGGCCTCATCATGCCTAAACAGTTAATAGAGGAGAATGGTTATGAAAGCCAGCAAAAACCAAAGAAAAAAACAATGGCGATGCAGTTTATGTTGGGAATTCCTTGACCGAGCATAATCTTTTGTCTTTGGTTCACACATCGTGACTGCATTTTTTAATGGGTAGTTTTTATAGGTCAGTTTATTTGAAATGTTAGGAATACTATAGGTCAGTACATGGTGCACGGTGCAAGGTCAAGTCCAAAAATACCTACAACATAAAGCTACAAAAACCTACAACATAAACATCTCATTGATTTCCTAACCAATGCACTTTATATTATTTTAAAAAACTTGGGCTCAAACTATATTGTGATTGAATAGTGAGGTACTTTCCCCAAGCTCTTAACAGAGACCTCCTTTAGGCTAAGTTCAAACTATAGAGCGTTTTCACGTGACGTTAAGTCCACCATATTGGTGTTCCAAAACAATGAAACGGCGGCCATGTTGGTGTTCCAAACCAACAGAAAAGTATTCTTTTGTTCCAATAAATTAGCATAGCTGCTTAACACGTGAGTGAAAACGCTGTAGACCGGAGAGTTCTTGCGCTGACACGAAAATCATACCGGATAGGGTTCGGACCGTCCCCGAGCGAGGACTGGAACCCACTGTGACGGCAGTAAATACTGATAACAATAAATACTAATCAAAAGTGAGTATCGGGGTTAGTTTACCAAACCACTGCCAACCACTCCGATACGATGTTCGATGTGAGTGAATGCCTTGCTACAGTCATGTGCCGTTGTCGTTCGTACTATACCCGGATAGCTATTCATGTCAGGACAAAAAGCTATCCGGACAGTGTCGACATAGCATTTCACAACGGAGATTCTGCTTTACTTGCCATCAATGTCCACGCTGTTGATCATCATTTGTAAGTCCTCCTCGCGCGGGTTCTCGCCCAGGGAGCGCATGACATTCCCCAACTCCTTTGTGGTAATAAAGCCACTGCAGTCCTTATCAAAATGAAGAAAAGCTTCCTTGTATTCTAAGGATATGAAAAAATAAAACAGTGACCCATCACTGTCATTAACGGTAGTATCGCTGAAGACTCGTACCCAGTCGCTATTTATGTGTATTTGGGGTGGGAGGAATGAGAGAATATTATGGTTAGGGTAAGGCGCGTTGGGTGTCATGTCGTCCCTTCCCATGAGTCCCCGCGCGCCTCAACCTGACCCTAATCTTCTCTCACCCCAGGCATATAAATAGCGATTGGGTACGATTGTGGTTTCGACGATTTCTTGAGTCATTCAGCAAACAATATCCGGCCAAATTTACAGCATCGGCCTTGACATCATGGTATATTACTTTACCTGGACTTAACAACAGCTTTCTATAAAGAGACTCAAGTTTAAAACAGCGTCACGCGTCTTTGTAAGTATTCTTTGTCCGATCTATCTTTGAAAGCCATTCTATCGTTTAATCACATTTCTGTGGTTTTGCCGACAGGATTGCTTTTGATCTTTGTACATCTGTTTCTTTCTGTGGGTCTGGGTATATAGGGAGAATTGCAGGAGAAACATTGTTTCTACTTTTGTTGAACATAGGCCCAATCGTTGGTTGAGGAATCTCGAATCCACGTTCCCCACATTTGAATCTCTCATGGCAGGGCACGAAAACCGAGGAGAAATGTGTGGAAAACATGTGCGGGGTGCCCAACGGTGTTGGCCAATGTTGTCCCTACAATGTTCCCTGATTAAACAAGCCCTTCAGTCAAAAGATTAAAAATTGTGTCCTGTCTAGTTTCACTTGCCTTGGATCTGATCTTGGGTCAGCTTCTCCTGATAAAGAAATGTTAAATTTAGCATTACAAAAGCAAACGCCTCTGTGTAAATTCTGTCACTGTTGTTGCGCCCCTATTAAACGTCATTGCATGTGTTATATTTTCTCTATCAACAAACATTTGTAGCGGTACTCTAGTATGAGTCAAGTGTAAACGCGATCAGTGCCTGTTCGTTTTGTATCTATTTTAGTTTTGGTTTACTACAGTGCGTTAAAAAGCTTTGATTCTCTGTCTCTCGATCCGCCTATTAAAAAGTAAATAAAAAATGATTGTTTTACCTCATTGTACAATTCTTTAGTTTCCAAAAGCCTTCAATTTGTAAGAATGTTAGAGCTTTTTGTTAAATAGCAACACGCTTGTTTATTTTTGCATTTTAGCAAGTAAGCTCTGAACAGAAGAAACGAAGACAATTGTACAATGAACTCAAATATTTTCTAAAAAGTCAGAATGTTTAAATAATTAATAATAGTGAACTGTTTTTCTATAATCTTTAACTGAGGATCGATGGAAATTTTTTTTGCATTCTTTAAAATTTCGCCATCATTTACTGAAGTCTAAACAACCCAGAAAAAGTTTGCCATCATCATCATCTTTTGGCGTCATCTCCTCGGCCCATATTCCTTTAATCTATAAGGTTATACTCTTACAGTATTGCATTATCAATGGCATCCAAATTTTGTACAATGCTAATGTGTACAGTGTATTGTGTACATGCGAGAATTTGTTAACGGTTCTTATAGGCAACAGGTACAAATATAAAAAATAATGGAATATGCTTCACATACCATTATTCTACCCTTGAGTCAGTTTCCAAAGATCAGAAGGAAATAGATGTAAGGACAAAGATTCCGATGTCGACAGACTGGGTATAAAAAACGCATTATTTTATATTATCACCAGAGGATTTGAGGTTTTGATGGAATTCTGTGGTTTTTCTTTCCGTGATTTTGATATGCTGATTTTTAATTCGAAGCCACCTGTTTTCTTAGTAGAAAAATGAAAGAACCTGGTATAAACAAGCTGACTCGCTTTCTTTACACGAAGAAAGCTAAAAAAAGTGAAAGGAGTTTAAAACAATTTTAAAATGCATGAGGGCTTGCTAAAATCGCTCATGTCCTCTCGGAGGAAAAAAAAATAAAGTTACGGAATATTTAACATTATTAGTTCACCAATTGGTGAAACACGGTCAATTAAAATGGAAACTGCCAGAAAATGCGGGTTTTTAAATGAATGTCAAGTTTAGACGCTAATTTTAATGGCGTTACTGATTCTGAGGCTGAAATGAGAGAAAATACTTGACAAGTTCTTTAGGTGGTACTAATTTCAGTTCCGCATTGCTTGAACAGAGTTATACATTCGTATGTCCGCTTATAAAATCAGTGAAAGTCACAATTAGAAGGGTTCCCAAATTTAGTGTTGATGTTTAGCTTAAGATCAGTCCAGCTGATCGAGAGACACAATAAGCTGACGACAGCCAATCAGATCTGTATACTTCATTAACTGTCACAATTTCAATAACCAACAAAAATGCTTACTGAGGATGATTATGATTGGTTACGTCTAAAACCATGCTAGGCCTATCAAAAATAGCTGACCCAAACCAAACAATTCTGCTGTACTTGCATTTTTCCAAACTAGATTGTTGCAGAAACTTCTTATCAAAATTGAACAGAGCAATGACATCTCTTCCTTAACTTTCCACTCGAGGAACATCGACAATTCTTATCGACTTAAAACTGTTAAGAATTCGTTAATACCAGTTCGATAAATAGGGGAAGGGAATTCAATAATTATCGAAAGCTGTTGTTGCTGTTCGCATTTTGACAACGAGGTTAAGGCATCAAACCGATTCAACACAAGAAGGACTATTTAGCTAAAAGAGCTGTTTGCATTCTACATGAAAGATGTTGCAAGAATAATAAAAGTGGCGAGGATATTGGCAACCTCCCTCGTCCCCAGGAAAAGCGCTTTGGATAAGGTAGGGAAGTCTTGGGAGACTGGAGCAAGTCATCTTCGACTGCCACAAAACCAATCCTGTGTAGCCCTTATTGCAGGTGAAGTTTGAGACGGACTCAAAGGCCAAGGCCATATAAGTATTATAAAACACAGTAGAATAATTCTCATTTTACTCTTGTTTATTCGTTTATACAGATATTTACATTAAATTACTTACCGTAGACTTAGGGTATTGTACATCTTTACAATGGATTATTCATTAGTCTAACTTAATTCGCTGTCATTTAGACCCTGTTTACATGGAGTGGGGACCTCGGTCTAGTGGGGTAGGTTTCTTTTGTTTTGTGTCCCCCAGAGCGTGAAAACAAAAGAAACCAACCCCACTAGACTGGGGTCCCCCACTCCATGTAAACAGGCCCTTACTCTTTCTGTTTAGAAGAGATTTTTAGATTTTAACACGAAAACGACAACGACGGGACGAGATTTTCTCAACACTCAGTAGTGCGTACNGACTGGAGCAAGTCATCTTCGACTGCCACAAAACCAATCCTGTGTAGCCCTTATTGCAGGTGAAGTTTGAGACGGACTCAAAGGCCAAGGCCATATAAGTATTATAAAACACAGTAGAATAATTCTCATTTTACTCTTGTTTATTCGTTTATACAGATATTTACATTAAATTACTTACCGTAGACTTAGGGTATTGTACATCTTTACAATGGATTATTCATTAGTCTAACTTAATTCGCTGTCATTTAGACCCTGTTTACATGGAGTGGGGACCTCGGTCTAGTGGGGTAGGTTTCTTTTGTTTTGTGTCCCCCAGAGCGTGAAAACAAAAGAAACCAACCCCACTAGACTGGGGTCCCCCACTCCATGTAAACAGGCCCTTACTCTTTCTGTTTAGAAGAGATTTTTAGATTTTAACACGAAAACGACAACGACGGGACGAGATTTTCTCAACACTCAGTAGTGCGTGCACGTGAGCCAGCGTTATAACAGGTTCTAGCGTGAATGTCGCAGTCGGAAACAAGTTCTCAAATGTGAAAAGTTTTATCATTTTGCAATCGGGAGAACGCTTAGAACTATTTTCAATCTGAAGATAACCGTGCTAACGTTTCTGGTAAAAAATAAGTACAATGAAGTTTTCCGGGGTTTATATTTTTTGAGAAATAGCAAAAAAACTGTAAGTTGAATCTCCTCGTCGTAGTTGTCCTTCTCCTGGAATCTAAAGGTCTCTAATTTACGTATATATGTGGTTTTAATGGCAGCTGAATTTGTTTTAAATTTTCTTCCATAATAATATAGTGATCAAAGACAGTGAAAATATTTACGAGGTTATTTAAACGAAACATTTGCAGCTGCACAAGCCCTATAAAAATAGCTACCAATGCTACTTTTTTCGGGCAAAATTTTTTAATTATCTGCATTTCTTTTTTCTGTTATTTCATAATTCATAATTTACTCAGATGGGTCTAGTTTAGTCTAGTGACCTAAGAGGATATATAATCTATAGATTCAACTCAGCTTAATCGAAGGGACCGAAATTTAACAAAGTCATTACTTTATTTAACTTAAGTTGGAGTCATTTACTGAGAGTGCCCGTAAGCATGCCACATGGTTTGGTAAAGGAAGAAGGCTCCTTATTATCAGTCGTAAGCTCGAATTGGTCATTGTTTAACAATCAACAAACCTGAGGCCGACAATGCGCTCATTTTCTACCTCCTCCTCTCTATCATTGCTTCAATTTAAAGCTACTTAAGGCTATCGGAAAGGAAAGAAGTCAAAAGAAGGGGCCTCTTGCAGAGAGGGCCGCCCAAAAACCCAAGCAAGAGTGAGTGAACAGTAACAACCTTTGGCCCCTAATGATGTGAGGTGAACGTTGCACTCCAGATCGGCTACTAAGCAAGCTCATTAGTTAATCAAGTGACGCATAAGTCCACTGATGATTTATCAGGTGGTGACTACTGTCTGCTTTGCTTACTGACCTCTCATGAAACAATCATATACAGATTCAATGTGGACCACTCCATTCTCTTCCAGGAGCTGCCATCCTTGTGGTTAGCGCCACGAATCGAGAGCCTTGCTGAGACTCCCTTTAGTAATAGAAGGTAACCGTTGTTGTCTCGATTTCTGAGGCTGTGCAAAATATCGGAAGTCCGTGAATTGCGCACTTCATGCCTCGTCTCCAGCCAGAGCTTTCAATTCTCACAACAAGGATCACAGCTCTGGAGACGGGAGTACTACCAC